CTTCTTAGCTGATGAACTCTTGTTCTTGTTTGGTGTTGTAATATCGTTCTCGTTTTCTCTTGTGTAACCTCGGACATTCTACACGTATATTTGTATCTTCTCTTCTCTTATGTGACCTCGAACGTTCTATATAGATATGTATATCTTCTCTTTTCTTGTGTAGCCGAGTAATCTAGCGTAACTAGTATATAAGGATGTGTAAAAGAAAAGAACAACACAACTGGATAATGTATCGGGTTGGTGCAAAAGTCTCCGCCGATTTTTTTGAAAGTCTATTAAAGCCATCTAGCGCTACTATACAGGCGTGGTTTTCGCACATATGATACCGCCTGTGTAGTACTATAATGTGATATTAACGAATGTCCGATTTTATTTACATTCCATATTAAAATATGTCAGAGATTTCTATTCATATTCGACATTGCATTTTGTATGAGTTCCAACTGGGGAACAATGCAAGTACTGCTGTGCACAATATATGTGCTGCACTTGGTGAAGGTGTTGTTGCTGATCGCACTTGTCAAGATTGGTTTAAAAGATTTCGGGAAGGTGATATGTCATTGGAAGATCGTCCACGGTCTGGACGTCCTCTGGAAATTGATATTGAACAATTAAAAGTCCTGATCGAAGACAATCCACGATTAACTCCAGTGAATTATCAGCTGTGCTTCTATGCAATCACTCCACCATCGATCGGCATTTACATGAAATTGGAAAAGTTAGTAAACTTGAAACATGGGTTCCACATCAACTAAGCTCGGACAATATACAGCAAAGAATCACCATATGCAATTCTTTTTTGTCAAAACGCACCCGACACAAGTTTCTTCAACAGATTGTCACTGGTGATGAAAAGTGAGTCCTGTATGTCAACCATACACGCAAGCGTCAATGTGGGTCAATCCTGAAGATTTGCCTGAACCTTAACCAAAAAACGACCTGCATCCGAAAAAAATTATGCTGCCGATCTGGTGGGATTTCGAAGGTATTATCTACTGGGAATTTGTACCACCTAATACCACGGTCGACTCGAAGCTTTACTGCAAACAACTTGAGAATTTGAAAATTGCACTACAAGGAAATCGTCCAGAAAGACGAAAAGTTCGATTGCTTCACGATAATGCAAAACCTCATATCTCAAAAGTTACTTGCCAGAAGCTGGAAGAATTATGGTGGGAGGTCTTACCTCATCCACCATATTCACCAGATCTGGCACCTTCTGATTATCATCTGTTTCGGTCGCTCCGCAATCACCTGGTGAAAAAGCATTTTGATGATCGACTACATCTAAAATCGGACCTCGAGAGTGTCTTTTCGTCTTTATCAAAGAAATTCTTTGAAGGTGGCATTCTCGATTTGCCTAAAAGATGGGAGTATGTCATAGACAATAATGGTATATATGTTGTCGATTAGTGACATTTTGTTTCAATAAAATCATGAAACATTGAAAAGAAAAAAAATCGGCGGAGACTTTTGCACCAACCCGATAGTAGAGGAGTTAACATCGTACACTGAGAATAGCGATAACGCTAATCTTCCAGTTTGTCATTGTGATCACAATAAAATAAATGCTGCAGCAGTAACGAAAAACTAACCATCCATCTCTCTCTCATTCAATTTTTCGTT